ATGATAGTATTTTCAGTCTAGTTCAAAGTTTAATTTCTTTTTGCAGCAGTATTTCGTACTTGTAGGCACAAGGAAGACAGCAAGGTGCGTGAACTTCGTGGAATTCAAGGCCACTCCGCCGAAATTATGAGTGTCGATTCTTGCTCGCTGTACGAATTTCGGATTACAGCTGTTTCACGGTACGGTGAAAGCAAACCAGTTTATCTGGTGCAGTATACAGGTTGTACTTGCCCGCTCTCTTCATTTAATTTGAATTTTGAGAAATGAAAAATCTCAGGTTGCAAATTCGCTTCCAGGTTAAACTATTTTCAAAATTTAAACAGTGCTCAATTAAACCCTGTTTAAATTCACCAGAGCTATTTTCCGTTGAAGTCTCTCCAAACACTTCAAACTGTGCTGAAATTTTTACCCCAATTTTTACACCAGTTCCAGAGCCACAGCTCAGTCCGCAGCATATCCTCGCTCAGCGGTTGAACGCCAACACCATTGAGCTATCCTGGGAGCCACCATACAAGCGAACCAGAGATGTAAAGGTAATTCCGCATTGACATTCTACTGATGCGACCACATGTACAATTCGGGGACTGCACTGAACTGATTGAAGAGGACACGTTATGGAAAGGGTTTTTGTTTGGTGTTCAGTTAGAAGCCAAAAAACAAGCGCACTGCAAATATTACATTGTTATGGATCGTTTAAAGAATCAACTAACTTAAAAACTTCTCCGTGATAGACGGAGGCATTCAGAAGTAATTCCAATGTTAGCGTGAGCCAGCAAAACCCAACTGTAAGCACAGCGTCGAAAAATGGCTCGGTCTTTCAAACGTTTCTTAAAAAGCAAGCTGATGGCGGACTTGTCTTCCTGGTATTTGCCAGACATTCACCTTTCGCGCGACAACAGTGCTATTTCCCACTACTCCACGGCTGCCAAAAAAAATATGAATTTATACTAACAAGCAATTATGTACTGACCTGCTATGACCAGCGAATTTGATAAATAATCAGTGATTTCCGTGGCGTCTGCACTAATGAACACTCTCGTATTGTAGGGTTACATCGTATATTATACAGAAAATCCGAATGCTCATTTTTCGGACTGGGAGCGAATAACAGTACGCGGAAGACATGTCGTATTCCCGGACTTACGTTACGACTGGTTCTACATGTTTTGTGCTACAGCATGTTTCAAGGATGGACAACGATCCCCGCTCTCCAGGGCGCTTTTCATTAAAACCGACAAACTCGAATTTCGACGAAAATGTTAGTGAATGATAGAAAGAATTTTCTACCTCCATTTGAACTTGAG